CATCATTAAATTCATATCTTAAAGTTAGAGTATTAGTATCAGGATCACCACTGTACCCAATATTAACATCGCCCAATTTATAATATGCTGTACCATCTTGTTGGCAAACCTGAAAAATGTAAACAAAAATACAAAACATGTTTGGATCACAGAATGAAAGTTGGAATAAAAGTTGATCAAAACAAAAATCATTAATCGTCCCTTTAAAATGATTATTAAAGAGATTGTAGAGGTTTTCTAAATTTTTCATTTGCATCAGGGACACTGATAGTTTCAATTTACATCATTCTAATTTTCAATCAGACGTTTGTGGTTCCTGTAATTCCACTATAACTAGGTGTTTGATGACGTCCCCAATCGTGAAATTTGCTTTGCAATTAGTGACGTCATTATAGTTTTCAAAGAGCGAACTTACCGTAGCATCTTGACAGCTAGCAAAACTAAAATTTAAACATGGATTATAATAAAATAATTGTGTCGCTGCCTTCCCAGTTCCGGATATCTTGAACCTTGAAAATATAAAAATGAAATGAATGGAGTTTTATTCTACTTTTCTGCATCATGTGGGCTAATGAAGACAGGCAATGCCATGCAGTGTGCAATGAAGGAAATTTTTGTCAGGACAGCGAAAATATCCTGCTCTTTTTCGATTTCCAACTGTCGAGGGATCTTTAACGTACACAGCCTGTAGCACACAGGGCCTCGGTTTATTGTTCCATCCATGCAAGCCCATCTTACCTTTGAAAATATAAAAATATTAAATATATACAGTGGTGTAACCTATTTTCGTGGATATAAAAGATTCAACACCGAATTTCGTCAAAGTTAAAAAAACGAATTTTTTTTTTATGTCTTAGATGTTTCCTCAGATATTCTACAAAATAATTAAAATTGGTTTATTTCGATTTTCTTTATGAATCCTTCACTTTTACCCATATTTCATGAGCAACCAACTCTGCAACGGCGTCAGAATGCGTCACCTATTTTCGTGTACAATGTTTGATCTATGATAAGTCGAGAA